CTTTGCTTTTTGCGTCGTAAACTGGGTCTAGAAAGTCGCCAGCTGTACCCACGCTGCACACGACATTTATCATCACCGTTTGCTGTTGGTGTAGTCACTGCGAGACTTCTGTAATATATTTTATGAGATTAGCTTTCATTTTACATATTGTACAGCCTTTATCTGTTCAACAGTGGGCAGATAATGACCGACGATGACATTATGATGACAATTGCATCGTAAGGTAAGGTAAGGTAGGAACTTGCTTTCGCCCGCGACTGCGTCCGCGTGGAATAAATTAAAAAAAAACAAAAGTGAGTAGCCTATGTGTTCTTCCAGACTATCCTCTACATCCATAATGAATTTCCAAAAGCCGTCCAGCCGTTTAGACTACAAACTGTACCAAACATCCATCCATCTAAACTTTCGCATTTATAATATTAGTATGAAGTATGAATAATTAATACTAAATATACACTATTTTGTGACTATTATGACAAATATATAACAGCAGAAACAAATTAAAATTATAGTAATCTTTATCAATGCAGAGTTTATTCTTGCAAAAGCAAATAGATTAATATTAATAGACGCGCGTGTTCTGTGTTCGCCCGGATGAATCTCAATATTGCTTAATGAAAAAATATAGCCAAGTAACAACTGGAGAATGTAGCTTACTAATAAAGACGTAATTAAAAAATCAAAGAAAAATCACTTTTTTTTATAAAAAATATAGCAGATGACAATGATAATCTAGAGCCTGAAAAAGATTTTTTTTTAATTTAGTTGATTGATACAAATGTAAACTTACTTCTGGGAGCTAAGAAGACTGGATTTATCGCTAACGTTTAGACAATTGTCTTCTTTAGCTATAGTTACTTGTAGATTCTTTTCAGGTAACATTGGTGATGGCATCGACCTAGGCGTGGTTGGGGTCGTTGCTCCTGGGGTCGTTGACCTCGTGGGTGGAGGACCTAATGTTAGAGGTGGCGGTGCTAGGGACATAGGCGGCAGACGAGCTTTTTCGGCCCCTAGTTGAGCTGCCGCTGAATGTAATGTTAGGGTATAACTATTTGGAGGTTTGAGTAAGCCTGGTATACTTGTGCACTGCAACAAAAATTGAAATTAGAACAATTTTATAATGAATATTATTTCATCATTATGATCGCACTTTGTATACCATTGAACAAAGGTTAGCTTCAAGAATTGCAGTAAAAATCACGCTGCCTTAATTCATCAATAAACTGTTATTTATAGTAATCATAACTATAGTCATACTGAATATCATTGAAGAGTATTTTCTAGCGCTAGCATGAGAAAATTACTCTAATTGAAAAAGACTCTAAACTAAAGAACTCTTGGTACATAGACATTTGTACTTACTGATGTTCTATCAATAGAATCCAGACTTGATACCATTGACGATCTCTCCAAGCTTAACACCATGTTGAAATCTCGGAATGATGCTCCGGGCTCCAATGTTGTTGATGGCGAGTCTTGTGGCGTAGCCGCCGTGTGTGTTATCATAGGTACTACGGTTGTATTCTCTGTTGCTGTGTTGTTCGCTAACATTTTTGATTCCTAAAAGGTAAAGTATTTTCGTGAACTTCACATTTCAATTAACATGTGAGCATACGTTTGTAAAAACCGAGGACATCATTTTGAATTACATTGGTTATAAAAGAAGATGAAGTATAATGATTAAAGTTAGAAAAATCTTTCTACTGCACTTATCAGTGGTCGGTTTTTACTTTTGCTTTGAAGGAAGTTTCAATCGTAATCTGCTCTAATTACTAAAAGAACAAGAAAGCATCGAGTTCACGTATATTTAAATAAAAAAATATGTAATAAACGATTTACCTTTTGTAAGTTGCATTTATTGGACTGTGCGCAATCTTTGCACAGCGTAGGATGGTGTGTTGAGGATCTGGTTTTTCGTTTCGACTTCATTGCCTTCTCTTTGTGACCATTCACATCATCTTTCGCCTTTCTGACGTCATCAGCGGAACGCCAAAAGTTTTTTATTTCGTTCTTAAAAATAAATGTATCAGTTAACATTGGAAGGTAAAATAATAAAAACTACACGTAAATAATTTTTAGATATTATAGAAAATAAGTGAAATAAACTATTTTTGGTTCTACGTTTTCACCTGGGAAAAACTGTCGCTAGAATGAGAGCCTGAATTAGAATCGTCATATTGTATTTCGTTGTGGTCTGAAAAACATTCACCAGACAATTTTGACTTCGCTAATTCTCGTTGCTCACGCTCCCTTCTTTCGTTGCGCTAAAAGGTTTACAATTGTTATTGTTAAAAAATTTTTTAAAAGTCGAATTTAAATGTACTTTATTTAAATAATCAATTACATGTGTTTATTATTGTTAAGTTTTTTTCTGAATTTACCTATAATTAAACAAGTTAAATATGTCATTTACCTTTATTTTAGTTGAAATATATTTCAATTTATTATTGCATTGCTATGAAAGTATTTTTAATAATTAAATAATTTTTTGGCACAAAAATTCTTAAGCTCTGTTTAGTTTTACTTACTTCGGAACTAAAACCTTCGACTAAAATGGCTACAAGCAAGTTAAATAGAACATAATTCCCAAAGGTCATTAAAGCTACAAAATACAACGCCGCCCAGTGACTTGTCTTTTCCATGCCGTTGAATAATACAACATTCCAATCTTCTTGTGTCAGGACCTGAGAAACCATTTCATATGTTAACATTTCATCTCTCCCATACACTACACTACCACAACATTCATTTTAAAAAGTTTATCTCTTTCTTAATTTATCAAAATAAGCAGGGTGTGCTATCATATCTTCGTGTTTATAATCTGTGCTGTGTTGTTCTTTGAAATGGTTAAGTTCTTACTGTCTTAAAGAAAGAAAAAAAAATAATTTCGTGATTAGAACAATGTTAGTGTTAGTAAGTGTTGTGTAAATGGTATAGTGTAAGGAAAACATACACCGTAATGAAAAAAGAACACACGGCGACTTGGAGTACACAAGCAAAAAGGGTCCAGCACTATTCTACAACTACTCACTAAACAGGCAAGATGCACAAACTACAGGACGCTCGATTCGTAATACAAAAATAAATATACTTCGGGCCGATGTTTCTCGACAGTTACTAGTATTTACAAACGTTATCATTACCTCAAACTTTACAATTATTACAATTAATATACTTAAAGTAGATATACTTCACTAACACGAGAAACACGCAGTCATCTAGAAGCACAATCGAAAGGGATTGCAAATTAACCGACTCTTGATACCTCGTCTAACATTTATGTTGCAACTCACCTGGAACACGGTGACAGTCGCCCACAGGATGTTATTAAAGTGTTTTCTGTCGCACTCACACTTGGGATGGTGCGAAATGATCTCGGGGCAAGTGCAATCGCGCTCGGTGCCATTGTCTTCGATGTACTTGCAAAACTTACCACCGAATAGATACATGCCGAGTATACTGCACGGCGCGGGTCCGATGAAATAATGAAAACAAAACAAACTGCTATGCGCATACTTCGCGACCGATATGACCACACCATGTTCGTTACGTACTCGACGTTAACACTGCGGTAGGGATCCATCCCATGTATCACTACACTAAATATGACTAATGGAACGCGGTCAACAATGAACAGTTTAGTGAAATAATGTGATATCAAACAATTAGTCATTCAAAATATAAAACTTGAAGTATGATATGAGTGCTTCAAACTGTGAAGCATTCGCAGAGAAAAAGTGCGTGAATTCTCAAACCGTAAAACTAGACGACTCATAAATTGTTAACTTGTTTCTTTGTTTGTGAAATCTAACATTTAAAAGCTAAATTAGTTAAGCAGTGTTATCGCCGCCGGTACGCTACCACCAACGGATTTGTTAATTATGTATATTATTTAAAATATTTTATAGTTTTTTTTATAATTAATTTGTTATTTAATGCAATTTCCCAAATAATTAAAAACAATCATTGTTTAAATTTTAATTACATCATTATAGTGAAATGCAAGAAATCATTTTAGAAGAGAAAAAGTAGGCAAAAGAAAAGTGCAAAAAAAATAATTGAAAACTTCCATTCAGTTCGTACCAGAAATTTTATAAAGATCATTGCCATTTCCAAAAATATATACATATACCTTGTTGATTGTGCGATATTAGTAATTAGTTATTACACAGATATAGAGAAATGAAAGGAAGAAATAGACCGGTAAAAGATTGACAAACATTTGAATTTAGATAAAGAGAAAAAAAACTTAGATATGTTAAAAATAAAAAGTAATGCAGGACTTCAAAAAATGAAGGGAACTTTAGTTGAGAAGTAAAGTTACATAAATTATTTCAATTATATTCAAAAGGACACTTCACTTTTTGTTATAAATAAATTAAATAGATTCTATAATAGAAGCAGCATGCAAAGAGTGAAAATTGTTTAACCGAGTATAGCTGTAATAGTGGGATTAAAAGGATCGAAGATAAGGGATTAACTCCGCGAATCAGCTCTTATCGACCTCAAGCTAACCTACAATTCAACCAAGCTCACTTACTTAACAATGTGCTTTTGTCAACTTCTGATGGGAGTATCTTACGGCACAACATACAGTGATTGTTACACTAGATGATTCTGGAGCAATTTGTTACAAATGGAACTAGATTTTTTTACTACACGGGTTCTAGGGTAGCTGTTATGCGACTGAACGCCTGTTTGACAAAGTACAATGCTGCAAGGTGTTCCCCTTATCAAAGTTGTACAAGTAAAAAATCAATATATATCTTGCAGCAAAGTGAAATGTCGTTTGTGTACTCGCGTGGTTAGTCAATTAGCCGCCGTACGGACAATCGCCTATTACAAGGGTTGTCGATTTGTTTGAGTGTTGACTGCGGACGGACGCAAAGGTAAAAGCGTTAAGTAATATGTAGCAAGTTCAGTCTGTTTTTTGGGTTGTCTGTTAGGTTTTTTATATTTAAAATATTGAATACCTGAAACACCGTGACAAATGCCCACAAGAGCGTATCAAAGTTTTTTCTGTCGCACTCTTGGTCACCCTCTTCGTCTTTCTCGCAGAATTTGCACCCGAAGAGGTTCATACCGAGGATGCTGAACGTTATCACGCAATATACGATTAGATAATACGTTTTCTAAACACCTCTCCAAATGTATTATAAGGGACGAAATAAATAATTGTACATAAATGCCAAAAGTGTAAGGTCTAAAATGGAAAGTGAAAATGTGCAGGTAGAAATAAACAGAGGTGAAGAAGAAGCACAAAAGCGTGGTACTAGATAACCAAAAGTTGATAAGAGAAGAGAAAAAATTGTAAATAGTGTGGATAGTGGTAGTGTGTAGTGGGTAAAATGTCACAGAAAGAAATGATCGGTACGTTAGGAAAGATAGAAATGAAAACAGGGTAAATCACTCACAGTTAAACAGTGCACGGATTAGGAGTACAAGAGTGATAGTTAATAAGAAACTATTAGAATTAACAAATTCGAAGAGTTGAATCTAATCTTCTTTTCTATAGGAAAATAAAAGGTCAATTGAGCAATTACTTAAGAATTGCTACACAATATAAATTGCTACACGACAGCTACAATTGAAGATTGAATTAAGATTTCACTGCAATAGAGTAAGAAAGTACAAGCAATGATTTGAGATAAAAATATTTCTATAAGTTGACTTGCACATTACGGTAAATATCCTGCCGAAATTATTAATCCTCTCAAATTTCTGTACGAAAACCCTTTACGTTTTTTGTATGTTTTTAAAACTGTGAACTCAAGTAATAACAATAGTCGTCAGAAAAAAATAAAAAAGAAGAGAAGTAGGAAAGTACTTAGAAGACTCGTCAGAAAATTAAAATAAAATCAGAAATTTTTACATGAACCCTGTTATTTATTTTTTTATTATCATGCATTTTAGAGGTAGCTTTAAGTCAAATTTATATTCCTTAAATGGCTCATTTAAATAATTGTAATTTTTACATTGGTCGGTCTAAATTCAATAAATATACATTTGTCGAAAATTTTACAAAATAAATCAAACAATTACCTGAATATAAATATGAAAAGAACAAGTAAGGAGAAAAAGACCGCAACGTTGTCCATTGTCCTCAGCATGACAAACAGCTGACGTCGAAGATTCGGCATGAATCTTACAAGTTTAAGAATACGCAAAAGTCTAAATGTACGCAGTACCGATAGACCAGAACTCCCCGCCATGTCTTTGTCGTTTCCGAAACTATGTGCTAGTTCGAATGCACTGAGAAGGCAAAATAATCCAGATTAATTATATTACCTTAATTTCAATTAACACATTTTACAGTTCCAAAAGCTTACCTTAATATTACAATAACACCATCAAATACATTAAATCCATTAGAAATGTATTTAAATGGTCCTTCGGATATAATTTTTAGTACCATCTCAATAGCAAATATTGCAGAAAATACAACATTGCTAATTTCAACAATCACTGTCAGCTCCTCTGGTTGATTATGATACTCTATGCCCATCGACAGTGTGTTGATGAGAATGGCCAAAAGGATACCTAAAATAACGTGCGAGTTTATCTACATGCTCAAAATTTCAAAACAAAATGTATGCTTTTAAACAAGAAACCTTGTTGAAAGTATTTATGGTTGACGACAGTTTTAATATGTTTCCTCAATAATAATAGAAATTTTGATATTCTTTTCCAGAATCTTGAACAGATATTGCAGACGCGACTTTTTCTCGTTTCTTTCGCCGCCGCTTCCGCTGCTATTAAATCCGCACAACACGAAAAATCTTCTATTTCGACAATCTGGAAAGAACATTTCACGATTCTCTTCACTGGTTTAGATACAATTAGTAAATTTGATTATCATCTACTTACTTTAGTGTCTGGTTTTTCATCACCGGCTCTTTTGCTTATTCCCTTTGTTAGTTCTTCAAAGAATGAGTCTAATGCAACTTGGCCAGTAGGTAGTGCTGCTGAAAGTGCCCCTGATAGTGCCAGCAGTTCTTGGCATGACATAGTTCCACCTGCGGCTGCACGATCGTCCGCTGTATCACTTGCGGGCATGTCGAACTCTACGTTGTCAAATTAAATTTCACTACAATGCGTGCTGCTAATGGGATTTGCATCAAAAATTCAACCCAGAAAGTATTCCATTAACCTAGTTCATGTCAATGAACCCACATGAACTACTAAACTGACACTTTCCAGGTTTTTTAAACAAAAAATATTTACATGTTACACGTTGTTCAAAAATTATACAAAGCATAGGACTTGACTAGTAATTTCTGAAAAAAGTAATCAAAAACTAAGTCCTAGACTTAATTCTTGATCTAGATTTACATTTTTTGAAGGGATAAGAGACATGCCCGGCTAATAGTTCGTCTAGATCTAACACATCTCTAGACTCACCGCTTTGACTCTTAAGCCAGTCTCGTTGGCACAATGAATCTATAAATATTTTGTTATTATTTAATTGTTAACGATATATTTTATTACTAATTTATACTTAATGATGCTATACCAATTTTTTAAATACATTTGAAGCACTATCAGATGTAGATCTCCAGAAATCTATAATTCAAAAAGATTAGTACTATCTTGATACTAGTCTTTTTAAATTAATTATAACACTTAACCAGTACACTATAAAGTTTATTATTCTTCATAGAGCTTTACTATTCAAATCTTAAATCTAGTAATACCTGTTTGCGTCATTTTCTCGGAAGAGCACACATTGTGTGGATGCGCTATCGGCGTGGTGGGCGTGTGTAACAACACCGTATCGCTGAACATAACCGATGAACGTCGCCTCGCCAGCGACGGCGGCGAGAGAAGCGATAAGTTTGAAGCGTTCTAAAAAAATATAAGAACAAAATATGTTACAGCAATGTAAGGCAAGTGCAAATAGTTTTACAGTAGGCGGTAACAATATAAAATGTTTAGGTATTGAGCAGACAATTTTAAATATAAGGATGAATTTGTTTAAATAAAAAATTTACACAAATCGTCTAACTTTCTAAGCCAGAGTTTAGTCTGAATTTAAATAAATTATCTTCAACTTGAATTTAGTTTTATTTCTTTCATGCTTTTCTAACAAAATTAGAACATTTGTGAAAACAGGATTTTCAAAGAAAAACATGAAATTGAATATGTTTCACGTAATGAAATTACCTCGAGATCTGCGGCGGAGAGCGAAGGCACACGCAACAGGCTGGGTCGGCTCAGCGGCTCCTCCCCCTCCTCCGGCCCTACCACCGCCCCCGCCTTACCCCCATTCCCCTAGAACACCAATAACCTGCCTTATAATTGCCCTCTTGTACACAGTTGAGGAAACGCATTTCATTATAATTACCCTTTTGTTCACAGTTGGGCAAATTCATTTAATTATAATTACCTTCTTGTACACATTTGAAAATGTGTAACTTAAAATAAACAAGTCAAAACAATTGTTATCATTCTAATGTAATTACTAACATTGTTGATTACATACAAAGCTAGACTATATAACACCAATTCAATTTCATTACTGAATCGATCTATGAAGCTAAGCTAAACTGTAAATTTCTATTGTGAGGGCCTGTCCCACCAAATTGTAAATTGTCTAACAGCAATCCAACGTGTAAAAATGTGATGGAAACATCGGACTTCGTTACCTTATATCACAGTCACGTCATTTTTTAGCTATGTGAAGCTCTGAGCCAGTGGTGGGACAGGCCCTTAACGTCAAGTTTACATTATACCTGTGGATGTGCTCTAGGACAGCAAGGGTGATGTTGTTTAGGCTTATTAGCTGGTAGCTGAAGAGTTTCTCGGCTTTGTCGCCAACGTATCTGAGCTTTTTGGTATCGGTAGACCCTGAAAGTAAACAAATTGGTTGCAAATCTTGATTCACATGTGAAAATAACAAGAATACAAATTTAATGATGATTATTTAATGATAATTTAATGATCAAGATTTAATGAACGAACGAAAAAAATTGAGTATCAGCTCAGACAAAATAGTGCTAAAATAAATACCTGATTTTTTTCGCCATACGTCTTTTAAATCTTCTCCATAAGTGGGCAACGTATTTAACGATTTCTGCATAACATGTTGCAGGTTCACTATTATTTGTTGACGAAGCCAATGTAGACGACGATGTAAAACGAGCTCTCTCAGCCCTCATCCTTTCCATTTCACGTTTTTTAGTTTCACTAAACTGTGTTGCTATGACGACTAGGCATAGGTTAATCATGAAGAATGATCCGATCTAGAAAAAGAAATCTTAATTGCAGTTGATAATATCTATTTTAAATGACTTAACTATTGTTGATAAATTAACATTACCACAATTAATAAGACAAAGTAAATCCAATCCCAAAAGCTGTGAGCATCTTGAACATAGTACATAATATCTGTCCATCCTTCTAACGATATTACCTGAAAAAGAAATTCTATTAAATACAAATCAAAGGAATAAAAGGTACATGTTGAATAAAAATTCGAAAGAATTACCAAGAAAATGGCGACCCACGCCAAACCAATGTTGTCGAAGGAAATCGTGCCTTGAAATGGATTAGATCCCCTTTCTGTACAATTCGTGTAGTATTGATTCCAGTCAACACAAGACGCGTTCGTTGGTCTATTGTATGAGAAAGGCTTTGCCGTCTCATTGCAGACGAGAGGCCCGTAACGATACGGTGGGAAGTTGCCGCATTGATGCATACCGCTGTCCTCCGGAGTCGTGCAAATGTAATCCAATTCTTTGGAGAACTCGTAGTGAAACGATATGCTGTGTACAATATTGTTTGTTTTAGATAATTTTATACACATACTCTTTTGAATTTAAAGGTAGCCTGATTTATTTAAAACAAAATTATAACTGGAAATATAGATTTCCAGTCCGTGTAGAATCAATCATTTGTGTACGTTATTGTAGATTGTTTAGTGGATTAGTAAAATTGTTTCTGATTATGTTTATGGAAAACGTTATGAAATGAATTATGTATTGATACTGATCAGGCCACAATTAAATTTATCATATTCTACAAAGCCGGACGTTAAGCTTTAATGGACATAATTATTTTAGGGGATAAACATGCAATCACTGAAGTACATGCAATGGTAAGTCATGCAAATAAAAGTGTAAAAATTTAATTATCGTGTGACAGCTAACAATTATAAAAGAAATAAATATAGAATGAGTAAGAGGTCACGGTAGATTAAAAGAGATCGTCAAAATATTAAACACAGAAGATGAAATGAAAACGCTAAAAGATGCTATTGCTTGAACTCATTTCTCAGATTGTTAATATTATTGTATTTGTTAAAATTTGGAAATTGAAATGATTTACTCTATATGCACTAATTGATATCGACGGAGATCTATCGGAAACATGTATTGTGATAAAGATGCTAGGAGTTATCTTAAAAAATCCCATACAAACTTCATTGGCTGTAAGACTTAACTAATTTGTGTGTCGACTTTAAGGGAACAGTATTTTCTATCGATAAAAAATTAGATAGACTAAAATATACACAGATAATGTATAATTACTAGTGGTTACGATTTTAATTTGTGTGTTAAAACAATATAAATAAAATGTAGGTATGTGTAAAGGTTGATAGATCTAACCAAATGCTTTGAGTAATTTTGAACAAATTGGCAGTTCTAAAACCACGTGATTGTGGTTGATACAAAAAGAAAATCGTCTTGAACCTATGCACTGTAGAGTTTCTCTGTAATGACACTTGTATAAATATTGGCATTTCTGTTATTTCCTACTAGCAGTTGTCCGCGACAACGTCCACGCAACATTGAGATGAAAAAGTAGCCTAGAATTTGCCCGTCTATAAGCTACCCTTCAGTGAAACTCCGGTCGTAATCGGCCTAGCCGTTTCGGAGATTGTCCGGAACATACGCAGCTTGTGGACAGACAAAAATTTTTTTAATGCGATTTACGTTATCAGCAACGCAAATGCAAATACATCATGTATTTGTGTTGCCTTTCCAAAATCTGGAATTTTGCTTTTAATATTACAGTATAGAAGATAGATTAGAAAACAGGGACTACAATAATTATGACAAATATCACGACAGTAGAATTCTACAGTGAAACTGCCAATTCGTATAAAATAAGCAGATATAGCACATCTGGACGGCAGATGTGTGAAGGTACACGTGACAACAAATCTTATATCAATATCTTAACAGAAACACTTAGATTCCCATATCCTTACGAGTTAACTCTGACGCGCACCCTGTACCATTCTGACAGGTCTCTGTAACATAAATTGACGATGTGGTGATGGATGTTATGATCCTAAGTCACTACGAAAACAATTGAATATATCATTAAAAATTTAAACTGTCAAATTGTGGTCACCATAGTGGCCAGACACTTTTATACTTTTTGTAATTTACTGTTGCAATTTGGATATGAAAACTGATGTATCTATTCTACTAAATAGTTTTCACTACTTTGATAAGGTCACAATATTAAAATATTTCGGAAATAGCAAACATTCGTATTTCTGGTTGTTCGCTTTGTTATTTCGCCATGTCAACTTTGTTTTTCTTTGTGTGTGTCTGTCTGCTCATATGTAATTGACAGTATGCAATATTTAAGTGTGTTTGTAAATAAAGTATGTGAACAGTTGAAAAACCAACATGTGTATGTTAGTAACAATAAATAAATAATGTAGCGATAAATGATGCGGAGCAGCCGTGGATGTGCTCTTTCGAAGTATAAGCGTTAAATATTGCATGCAGTCAACTTTAGCAATGGAACGTGCTACTAAGACGAGCTCTCGAATTAATGATACAATGGAATGAATCATTACAATTCTCAATTATCGTTGAACTCACAATCATTATTAACATTATCATTAATTTACTTTTCTTTGCCAAATAATGATTAAAATATACTTACTTTGGTCGTAGAACATTTGGAGGTAAGACCAGTTCGCAGCGTTGTCTCAATATTCCTGCCCAAAGTTGGACGCCGACTATTCCGAATATAAAGAACACGAAGAAACAAAGAAGTAAAACATTCCCGAGCATAGGTAATGTGTCCAACAGTAACATCACCAGTATTCTCATACCTGTCAAAAAAAAAAACAAATTAATTCAAACCTGCCTTACATTTAAGTATTTCTGTACAACTCTTTCTTAATATCTTTCTATCACACTTTCTTTAAGTTTGAAGTGATGTCATAATAAAATCACAATGTTGTTCTACATTTCAGTTTTTTTAGTTTAGACTTAAAAGACCTATTTTGCTTACTAAATTTTGTAAAATGTTTCGATTCTTTCTCTAACGATGAAACATTTTTAAATTAAATACATTCAGTGTGAGCTAAAATACATATTTTCTAAATTATTTTGGCACACAAGTATAATTGTATCCATTTGAATAGCGTAGCGGGTCGTGAAAATACACAGAAAAAGATAATCAATTGTATGAGGTCAAATTACAACAGATGTACGCGCAACCACAGAGCGTGGCGCAATTTAATTTGGGGAGGTTGCATTTTCAGTGTTATTTACGTGGCCCTGTCGTGATTTTCACGTTTTCAGCGCGGCTGTCTTTTGTTACGATGCTCGAATTAATATCCGACTGGAACGAACGCGTGATTTGTTAACTATTGACTTTTTGTGGTTTAAATCGTTGAAAGGAATGTTCTTGATGTGTAATTCTTTTTGTTTATAATCAAAATAATTTGTGTTTCAAATAAAACACTATGTGTTTTGTATTTTATGATATTTGAACTGACTTTTGCAATATACGGTACTATTAGTCAAAGCTGTTTGCAGGATTTACTCGTATTAACATCGCCCTGATAGCATTGCTAACATTACCATAGACTTCAACAACAAATACAAAATTATGCAAACAAATACAGTCTTCGTTGTGTAATCGTTCACCACACGCCGTAGGTAAAGCCGCATGTTAAATTATACTAGTACGTAACAAATCGTACGATGTATCGCTCCGTTAACGTATTTCAATTTGGTTGGGATTTCAAGCTCGGTTGAGTTAAAATTCAAACTCTCAAATCAATTTTGTCGTAATACCGTCTGAGGGTAGGAGAGTGTTTGTCAGAGGCCGCGGCGTACTTGTTGCGCCGATCGATCTCGCCCCCGCCCGCTTTCAATCCACGCTCCGGGTTCATTTCTAAAAGTGCCCCGGCTATATGAGCTATTTCAACGGAAAATTCTCTTTATAATATGTTCATTGGACGTACGGAACGGCTTACGTAATAATGTGGAATAGCTGTAGTTAGATATCTAGTTATAGTTGAACTAAATTTTTAAGTTTTAGTTATAACTATACTAGTTCCGTTTGCGACTCCGTCCGCTTGGTATTAATAAAAACAAAAGAAAGTAGCCTATGTGTTCTTACAGACTATCCTCTACATCTACGCCAAATTTCATCCAGATCCGTTCATCCTTTT